CCTGCCATTTGGTTGATGTTTTGAGATCTACCATGCAGCATAACTTTAAAATCTTTTTCTTGTTTATTAATTTTTTGTTTGATAAATCATTGATCATGATTATCAAGGCTGTGCTATTAATAACAGCACTCTTTTCAATCAAAATTAACTTGTAAAATGTTGATCATCTCTCGTATATTCACTTTGAAGGCAGATCTTGGATTGGTGTGAAAGTAACGAGTAACATGGAATTATTTATTGTACCACCTGCTTTTCTGTAATTGCTTTTATGCTTTGAAAATTTAGAAATGTCTATGTTTTTGGTGTTTTTTCAGTCGGGATTTATTACAGCATGAAAAAGAGCATAAACAATGGTGAAATGAATCAAACAATACGTAATGTCAAGCAAATATTTGTATGCAGCCTTTTGTGGTTAGAAATATAGAATTACAGTCATCTAAACGTGCTGAATCTGTATAAGGCTGTGCTCTGATTCAGTTTAGCGATAAAATTTCATTTATTCAATAAGTGGTCTAATAGGTTTCTTAGTTGTGTGGTTAAATAACTTGTTGGAACAAATGTAAAGGAATCTGCTTTTGGATGGCTTTGCTACTCAAAGATGATTACCACTTTGGTACATTTTGTAACGGGGTAGCCTTTCTGCTTTACAGAGTGCACGATATGAGACAGTTGTGTTGAATTGAAATCCTGAGACTGTCCACAGATTATGAAACAAGTGATTTGTCTCTACTTTGAACCCTTGACAGCAGAAGACATTCTGAATGTTATTGAATTGGAAAGACCTGGTGGGATCATTGTACAGTTTGGTGGTCAAACACCCCTAAAGCTGGCCCTGATCCAGCAGTATCTGGACAAGCATAAGCCTCTCAGTGCCAGTGGAGCCCGGCATGTACACTTATGGAGCACATCATCATCTGATTCTATTGAGGCTGCTGAGGACAGAGGGAGTTTCAATGCAATTCTAAAAGAGTTAAACATTGAACAACCAAAAGGAGGCATTGCTTAGAGTGAGGCTGATGCTTTAGCCATTGCAGCAGACATGGGTTTCCCAGTTGTTGTCCGTCCTTATGTCTTAGGTGGCTGGGCAATGGCGATAGTAAATAGTGATGACAAGCTTGTGATGTATCTTGGAAATGCTGTTGAAGTTGATCCGTGTTGATAGATAAATATTTGTCTGATGCTGTTGAGATTGAGATTGATGTGGATGTACATGCAGACTCACACAATAATATGGTTATTTGAGGGGTAATGGAGCACATTGAGCAGGCTGGGGTCCATTCTGGCGACTCAGCTTGCATTCTTCCCTCACAAACTATCTCACCTTCCTGCTTGACCACAATTAGGTCATGGACTAAAAAGCTGGCAAAGAGTCTGAATGTCTGTGGTCTCATGAACTGCCAACACGCAATCACAGTGGTTGTGGAAGTTGTCATGACCCGAATTCATGACTAGTAATATAAGAACGGTGTTGAAAGGATATCCGACTTATTCTAAGTCTAAAAAAACATATAAAAAGAACAGGTTATTAAAAAATATGTAGTATTTTATAATTTTTAGAAATATTATATTATTTAAAATTGAAAAAACTAAAAGACTTTTTATAAAATTAAAATTTATAATATTCATTATATTATTAAAATATAAACTTAATTAAAACAGAGTAATAGTAGAACATCTAAAACATTGAATTAAAAGTAAATGAAAGCCTTACAAAACAAGCAAGACATATCGATCAAAAGTGAAGAAACAGAAATACTCAACAAAGTCCATTTACTAATAGAAACTAAGAACCTAAAATAATATTAAAAATAAGGGATGAGTTCAACTAACTCAGTGAGAGAATAAAACTGGAGAAACAGGAATACTCAACAAGGTCCATTTATTATTAGAAACTAAGAACCTAAAATAATATTAAGATGTGACCAGATGACACTTAAAAGTGACTAAATGACCCCGAAGGTGACTACTGTGGGATGATCAGTTGTCACAGGCTAATACCTCTCTCATTTGGTAGATTTACAGAATACTATGTGTATACAGACTAACTACTCTCCGTTAGCATGGAGTTACTGACAAGTTCTATATCAAGGCATAAATAGATATTCAAAGAATCATCAACAAAACGTATATCATATCGAATAAAATTTAGTTTGACAGACTGCGAGTGTAAATTCAAAAATAGATGAGTATTTGGAAAATAAAGCAACATATATAAATATTCAAGAGATTAACTAATCGTACTCATGATATAATCAACATACATTTTTATTTATATTATATGCATATTAAAGATTATCTCATTCACCCGGAAAAATATAGATTAAAAGGAATATCAGATAAAAGACTCAAAAAACCTATTAAAGATCGTTAGGGGAACCTACAATAAATATATAAAATATACTCAAAAGCAACTCAAAACAACACAAATAAAAGATTTCAATGTATAAAAAAAAACCAGGTTTAGTTATCTAGGTTTAGGGACTAAAACGACAATCAACTAAAACAGGGACCAAAATATGATTTTACCAAAACTTGACCAAACTATAAATACATAATCATATTGAAATTTCACCTATAAAATATCCTCAATTCTTTCCAGAATGAAACAGAGACCAAATTGTAATTTTTAAAAGTTTAGGGACTAAAATATAAATTCCTAAAATTGAGGGACCAAACTGAAAATATTTCAAATCAATTATCAAACTAAGATTCATCATCCTTCACCTCATAATAACACCATCCAGAATCTCAAAATACATTTAGGGGTGAAATTATAATTTTTCCAAAGTTTAGAGACTAAACTGAAATTTTCACAACTTAAGAACCAAAATAAAATTTGATCATCTTCAACCTAAAAACTATTTGTCCAGATGTTACAACAAGAGAAAAATGAATTTTTTAACCTATAAAAAATAATTTAGATAAATCAACTCACAAAAAATGAATTTCTTAACCCATAAAAAATAATTTAGATAAATCAACTCACAAATCTTTATTTCTCACAAATTCTTATTTCTTACAACTAGTTGTTACATGAGTTTTGAGGTTTTGTTACATGAGTTTTGAGGCAAAACCTTGTGCATCTCGTACGGTTCCATTTGTCTCCAAGGCAATTGGCCATCCACTAGCTCAATATGCTTGCTCTTATTATGTCAGGAAAGTCACTTAATGAGATAGGTTTCACAAAAGAGGTAATCCCAGCAAATGTTGCAGTTAAAGAAGCGATTCTTCCATTTGAGAAGTTCCTCAGGCTGTGATGTACTGTTAGGGCCTGAGATGAGGAGCACCACTGAGGTAATGGGTATTGATTTTCTGGTTGCCATTGCATTTGCCAAGGCTCAAATTGCTGCTGGGCAGAAGCTACCACTTTCTGGCGCTGTGTTCCTTAGCCTAAATGACTTGACAAAATCCCATCTAGAAAGGCTGGCAAAGGCCTTTCAAGGACTCAGGTTCTGGATTGTTTCAACTTCTGGAACAGCTCACTTTCTGGAATTGAAAGGTATCTCAGTGGACAGAGTGCTGAAGATGCATGAGGGACAGCCACATGCTGGCGATCTTGCTAATGGACATATTCAATTGATGGTAATTACTAGCTCTGGCGATTCACTTGATCAAATTGATGGCAGGCAATTGAGGATGGCACTTGCTTATAGAGTTCCTATAATAACAACAGTTTCTGGTGCTTTGGCAACTTCAACTGCAGTAGAGAAATTAAAGTCTTGCACTATTGAAGTGAGGGCCCTTCAGGACTTTTTTAATGTTGACCTACAGAAAGATAATAGTAAAAATTTGCTGTCAGCATCTTCTTCTCTATGACGGAGGAGGAAATTCCAGTAAGTGATCCAGTCTATTATGTTTATTTTGTTATCCGTTAAATGTGGCTTGTTGTTACTATTGTTTGGGGTAGATTTTCTATTCAGTTACATGTTATTATCAATGTTTAGCTGCCCATCCGTTTCATTTCTGCGAGCTGATTAATACTAACCTGGGAATGTGTATTAGGGACATGAATTTATCTATAGTTTGAAACATGACCCTGCCAGAAACTTAGTTCAGGCATGTCAAATGAATCTGTTGCCAGAAACTTACTTCAGGGATAGCAAATTAATAATTTGTTGTAGTGTCTGCATGGTCAACACAATTTGAATAATCTTTGCCTTCCTCACCCTTTCCCTCTCTAAAGACATGTTTGAGTGAGTCAAACATGTAATAAATTTCCATGTTTAATCAGTTGGTTTGTGTTCACAGGACAAGCAAGAGCGTCGTTAGTTATTTTATCATGAAGGAGCATGTTATCAGTTTCCGTTTCTTCTGAAGGAAAATAGCTATGCTGCTATGTATGGGAAAATGATTGGTCTTTTATCACTTGAAAGGGCAAAATACTAGTGAGAAAATAGAGGTTTTTTAATTTTTATTTTGAAATGTAGTGAGCTTTGAGGTTATAGTAATAGTGTCTTTTTCAGAGGCTGAAGTAAGTCTCCTCTGTAATTTATACTTTCTATGTGCTGCTAGAAACCTGTCTATCCTAGACAAATTTTAAGGTTAATTAAATTAGGACCACTTATTTTTTCCAAAACGCCTTTGTGAATGTCAATATATGTATGTATGCGTGCGTGCACACATTTTCTTCTCTGTGATTGGTATGTTTTGTTGATATTTCCCCCCTACTGAAAGCAGGTTAAAAAAATCTGTTGAACTTCATTTTGGCTCTTTTACAGCAGATGTTGATATACAGGGAGATGCCCATGTGCATGTGTATGCCATCATTTGATCCTTGCTATCATCTAGCTATTATTTGCATACGCTGTATGATGATGGTGATGGAAAAGGATAGGAGATTTGAAGGTCAAGGGGAAGGATGGACTCGATGCCTCCTGTGGGTATGAGAGGGACCCTTGATTGATAAGATCAGAGGAAAGGCATGCCGTCTGAAATGGCATCTGGCTTCTTGTTAGTTTTTGCTTTGTTTGATGAGTTTGCCTAACGATGGCCATCTAGTTTTGTTTATCGTTAGTTAGCAGAGATTGTCAGCAGACAGGTTATTTGTGCTGATTGGCTGCTTGTAGTTTTACGCTGGGATGCTCTCGTGTTTGCTAAATTTAAACATCAAAATTAAAAAATAATGGGCATGATTATAGCACGTTAAAGATAGCAGACTTGGCTACATTATTGAATCCAATCTGTTTGGTAATTGAAGTAGTTTACACTATAGTAGTAGCTGCAGCAGCTCATCTTTGGATATAGATTCATAATGCTTCCAGCCATCCTTTATTCATTCCTCCTAATTTCCTAGGTTGATATATATATATATATATAGGGCACTTTTCATGCATTAGATTAGACCTCTTCACATGGCAACACCTTATGAAGCATGTGTAGTTTGAGAATATCAGATGCATGTTTGAAGTAGCCTTACATTGCCCAGGCAGGCATCTCCCATCAAACAACTTCCATGTTTATTGTTTTATGTGTAGGGACTTTCAGAGCTAAAAGATGATACCAAAGTTGTTAAAAATCACAGAACCAGCGAGACATGCAAGGGAATCTTTCAGCTGGAGCTTCATTTATTGCCAACACCAGACATGGAAATTCAAATAAAATCCCAGCAACTCTTGCTAGATGGGCATAACTTTCTTTATGCTTCTTTTATTACAAACATGTAGTGCCACAGTTTTCGAATTTTTGTTCATTTCCATGGACAACTCTTAAGTATTTACAAGTTGTCGAAAATTCATTGGTGATATGTAATTCAAGTCACCATCCAGCAGGTGCTTTGCTGCAATTAAGTACGCAGATTCTGTAAGATGGAATGGATCCCAGAAAACATTCTTTGTTCTGTCAGAGCAAACATGAGAACTAGGTGTGCATGGGATAATGCCACCATGGGCTCCAACAACATAGCAGCACGCATTTTCCGCATCTTCAAACCCTGGGAAACAAAAATGTGCATGTAACCGGAGGCTGAAATGCAAAGGAAATATACATTGCTGTTAAACAAATTGATGGCGCACCATATGATACGTAGTTTTGAACGATGTCTAGGAATACAGCATAAATGTCTGCATAAACATGTATTGATCCTGAGAGATTTTTAGTCAGCTCTTCAAGCATCGGCTTAAGTTCTTTATTAAAACTCTGAGCTCTCTGATTTGCAGCAGAAACACAACCGTCTTTCACTCCATACTCATCCCTTGTATAAGGGATACATCCATAAGGTCCACAATTTCCCACTACGAGCTTTCTAGCACCCAGTTTATAGAGTCTCTGCAGGGAAAAGCTACGTCAGTATCAATCCTAGAGATGGTCGATTCAACCATTGAAGTTAAAGTAATTTGACAGGGAACGATGATTTTACTGTAAGCTGTGATCTTAAACTTGAAATGATGGTGTCAAGTACTGCGCCGCTATCCACAACGTTGGAGATGTCCCTAATATCATTGGCGCCGACAAAAAGAATATAAATAGCCTCTCCAATCAACTTCTTGGCAGCTTGGATTCCAATATTCGATATGATGTCTTTCCTTGTTTTCTCGAAGTAACTGATTTGATTCTCAAGGCTAATGTGATCTCCCTATAAATGACATGTAGGTTTCATCATCTTTTTCTTCAGAAAACCTTTGCTTGTTTGATCAAAATCTATAATTTCTGGAATTGTTTCCATGTTTATTTCCAATCATGCTTGAAAACAAATTTTGAAAAACTGATGGAAATTCAGTTTCTGCAAAGCCAAGTGTATTCTACGTCTAAAATAAACACTTACGTATGACTCTCCGGTTGCATTCAAAATTCCAGATCCTGAAGAAGCATAGTTGACACCATCCAGAAGCACGTCCCCAACAGTCGTCGGAGCCAGGTGTGGAGGAGGGAAGTTTTTGAGGCCCACTTCCTGTCCTGTTAAGACAAAACAGGAAAATCAGCTTAATGAACGTACGTACCTCAACCTCAAAAGAAGACAACGAACAGAAAGACAAGACTTGCCTATTATGTCAGGAACTAATCTAGCATTTGAATATCGTCCAGAAGGAACCCTATCTCCATTGCCAAAATCAATCCCATTGGGGAACAATGGCGTTGCTAAAGTCTTCATGTAAAAGTTGTTCCCAACATCGACCAAGGAATCTCCAAAAATATAAAAAGCTGGAACATCTTTTGCTGAGCTGAGACCTAGCAGAAGCCATACCACAGAGGTTTGGGATACAATTCCCATAATGATAAATCTCTGTCTGTCTAATGCAGATCTCATTTCTAGTTCAATCTGACAAAACTGGATAGAAAAATGCTATGCACTTCTAGTTCAAGATTGATCCCTAACAGGATTAATAGCAAAATGAAGAAGTATTTATAGTCGTGTCTTGTAGGATGGCTTTGGCGGCTCGAAGTTAAGTTTGAAAATGGAATAGAAATAAAGGCAGATTTGAATGAGGCGAGCTGGCGAAAAGCTTCAATTAAATTACAAAAAAAATTTAATATATTTTTAAATAAAAAAAACTTTAAACTATAATTATTATTATAATCCCAAACAGTTCTTTAAACTTCAATATTTATAATTGAAGCGGGGGCTCTTTCTTCTTTGGTATAATAATGTTTATTATATTATTTTATTATTTTTTAAATTTTTTTAGGTTTTAAGGAATCTATGAAAGTTGCAAATGTAATTTAATAAAATGAGTATAATTTTTAATTTAATTATAAAATTAAGCTGAAATTTTGATAAAAAAATTTAAAAGCTTATTTTTTATTATGTTAAAATTTTATGATGATAAAAAAAAAAGACTTCAAATAAAGCTTGGAATTTACCATGTGAGATTATTTTATTTACTTGTATTTTGATTTTCTTTTTTATTTAGATTAGTACTTTTAATTCAATTAGTGTTCAACTATTTAAATATCTAATTCTATTAGTTAGGAAAATTTTAAATAGTAATTCTTTTTTAATTAAAATTTTAAGTTTAAAACTAATATAAAGTGAGACGTCTAGTTTATTTTTGTTAGAACATTCAAATTATTTAAACTTTTAATAAAATACCAGATATTTTTTTCATTCCCTTATGGTATTTAAAATTGTAATCTTAAAGTTTCAAAACCTTAATTTTTATTTATATTACACACATCTTAGACAAATCTTTTGAATTGAAAAATTAAATGTAGTCACCGCAATGATATTTAGACAATCTTTATGAAATTTTGATGATAGTCATTTCTCATTTTTTTTTTCAAGATGAGAACTAAGAAAACCTTGACATTGGACCTAAAGTCTTGGGTGAGTGACTTATTTACTTAACTGTTATAAAATAATATAAATTATATTTTAAAATCTCATCTAACAGTTTAAATTATTGAATTAAAAAATCATTCAACCCAAAACTTAAGCTGTTAGGTGAGGTTCTAAGATATAATTTATATTATTCTCTAGCATACCCGCTTAAGTGATAGCCATTTGAGCTTAAAATTTGCATAGACCAATATTATCTTATGTCTAATTTTTATCAAATAAATGGAGATGGTGAGATTTGAACTTGTGACTATTTGATCATTAAGGCTCTGATACCATATCAAATAACTACTTAATCCAATAATTTAAGCTTTTAGGTGAAGTCCCAATATATAATTTAATATATATCAAATAACCAATTCAACCTAATAACTTAAGCTGCTAGATGAGGTTCCAAGAAATGATTTATATTATTTTATAATAGTCAAATAACAAATTCAACCCAATAGCTTAAGCTGTTAAATGAGGTTCTAAGATATAATTTATATTATTCTCTAACATACCTTTTTAAGTGAAAGCCTTTTAGACTTAAAACTTGCATAGATCCACATTACATTGTGCTTTAATTTTTATCAAATAAATGGGGATGATAAGATTCGAACTCATGACCATTTGGTCATCAAGACTCTGATACCATGTCAAAGAATCATCTCAACTCAATAGCTTAAGCTATTAGATGAAGTCTTAAGAAATGATTTATATTATTCTCTAATAACAACTAAATATCATTATAATGAGTTTAATTTATTCGCAAATTGGGAATTTCTTTCTTCGTGTCCTTTTTAAATTTTAATACTTTTAGTTTACAAGTTTGATATTAGTCCTTTCATGTTAATTCTAATACCTAGTTTGTTTCCTTGAAATTTTTTTTTCAAGTGGTAAAATTAATTTTTGTTTCTTTTAATTTTATAATAAAATTTATACAATTTAAAATGTATGATTATTGTATAATATAACATGTTTTGTATTCGAACATATTTTCTAGCAATATTATCTAAATTAAAGTATTATATGATTATTGTATAATACATTTTTATATTGTATATTAATATATCCTAATATTATTTCCTATATAAATATATTAGTAATTTATCATTTTCTAATAATATTATATGTTGGTCCTTGATTTCCAGTACTTTTTATGATTTAGTCTCCACATTCCTAACTTTTGGTATATAAGACTTTGATTCCTTTTATATTTGTTTGATAATTTATTTTTTAGTTATTTTTTTAGATCTATATATATGATTGATAAGTTTTATGCATAAAAAAGTTTTATAATTTAAAAGATAAAGGCTCAAGTTAACAAAAATATATGTGAAACAACCTAATTGATTAAAAAATAAGAATAACTTTTTGTCTAACCATCAAATTAATTTCAAATATTTTCAGGAGATGCTACAAGTCTAGTTCTATATTAAGTTAAATGGAAATAAGTAGTTAAGAATAGGAAAGCTTTCAAATTATTATTAGATGTTGTTTTTTTTTTGTTTTATTATATTAAAAAAATATAAAACATCCTTTACTTTGGTACAAATCGCAATCACTAATTATAGCTTGAAAAATTACCATTTACATCCCATGTCAATAAAAGATTTCAAATATAAAAAACTACCATAATACTCTCATATATATTAAATTAGATACCCTAAAAAATCTCATTCCCCATCTCTTATGAAAACGCTAACTATTGATTTAGTATGTGTGACTAATAATCATACACTACTATTTTTCTATTTTGATATGTTGATAACAGATCAAAACAATTCAAAAATATAAAAAAAATAATTTTAAACAAAATAAATTTTAATTTTTTCCAAACCATATTTGAACCACTTAAACCACCTTCTCGAATGTTACCTTAGTTCTAAATCATGGCACACTTAGGTTAATATGCAAGCCAATGTGTGCCAAAGGCTAGTCTAGGTCATTTTGTTTTAATTTTTAGGTAAAAATTAGATGATGATAGTAATAAAACATGAAAACAATAGAAACATAACAAAATTATGTCACCCTTATTTATTTATTTTATATTCAATTTTAATTTCATTTTACTTTTTAACTTCAATACAAGGTAACTTCTAATTTTTATAATCGGTTTACACACACACATAAATGGTGATTTCTATAATTTCATATTCTTTATATTTTTTCATTTTATTTCATTAAAAATATAATAAAAAATAAAGAAAATTGTGATTTAACATATTTTCATTTCCCTTTTTAATTTTGAAGAATATTTTTTTTTATAAAGGCATTTATGTTTACCTTATCTATTTTTTAATATAATATTATTCTTTAAATTTTTTAAGGATTTTTTGAAAATCTAATTCTTCATTTTTTATTTTTTATCAATTTAAAAAAAAATCAAAATTTCTTCTAATCTTCAAAAATCTTGATTGCTAAATTCTCTATTTTTGGCATATGTGCACGTTTAATTAAAAAGATTGATGAAATCATAATAGATGGAGCACATTATCAAAATTCCTTGAGAAGTAGAGGGAACAAATTAAGAAAAAGAAACCATGGAAATTAAATATTTGATTAATCCAAAAAATATATTTATATATTCGAATTCCTTCATATAACACACTCTATATAATTGCTAATTTACTATTAAGTTTTATTTCATATAAATAATGTATTTGATTAATTATATATTAAATTTATTTACTTTATAAAACCTTAATAAATCAAGATAATGGAAGACAAATGTTCTAAAAAAATAAATTATATATAAATCTTAATTCAAAATTGTATTACGAAATAATTTATCCTTTAAATAGAGATTATAACCTCTTAGATAGGTTTTAAACTAATATTTACAAGTTAAAAATAATAAGAAATGGTATTCAAATGAAAAAAAATTAATACATAACCTAGAGAAAAAGCTAAAAATCCAAAAAATAACAAATATGTTAAAGATAAAAACTTTTGAGCCTTTTCAATAGTGGATAAAAAAATGGTTTCGTTGTAGAATTTTATAGCAAAATTTAATTCTAATTAAATGAAACTATTGGTTTGACCATTGATGAGGATATAAAAATCACAAAGAATATGCTAGACGAAATTATTCGTTGAGATCTTTGCACATCATTCACAATATATTCTATGACCTTTACTCCCAGACTTCAATGAATTCTTTTTTAATGGGTTCCTTCAGATAGTGTAAATCTTCTCTGTAATTGAATACCTGCATAACATCCTTTATAGACCCCCTGTGGTTGTTGAAGGGAGACCTTTCGAAGATCTAGTCAGTATGAGGTACTTTTATATGACAAAAGACATAAAATAAAAGTATTAATAAGTTTTTATGAAGATAAAGAAGAAGGAGAAGAAACTATAAAAGTTAAAAGAAGAACAATAATAAGAAGAATTGTCTTTATATCTTAGAGTATAAGGTTTTGAACCCTTTTGTAGTGTATTCATGCTTCTTTTTATATTACATGGCTTGACCTGTTTCATACAATGTAAGAGGGATAAAGATGTAATCTTGTAATTGTAAAATAATATCATTCTACTACTTGTGCCATCATATCTAATTAATATAAGCATGAACCGTTTGTTTGTATTTAATGGGATGGTGATGGGTATCATAATTACCAGCCTAAACTCGTGGTATGAGAGGCTTAGTATGGAGTTACCTTTTTGCTATAAATTGAACCTAAGAGGAGTTAGGTTCATCTTATATGCCGAACCTAAGGGAAGTTGGGTTCAACTTGTGATTGCACCCAAGAATGGTCAGGCACAAATGCATCATAGCCCAACGTGGGGTCGGGCTTGGATGCACCATAACCCAACATGGAGTTCGACGCATTCACATCCTTGACCCAACATGGAGTTGGGCAAAGCCATGTCCTGGCCCAACATGGAGGTGGGCACGACCCAACATGGAGTTGGGTGCTAACGTGTCCTTGATCCAACATGAGTTTAGACGCGGACACATCTTAACCTAACACGGGGTTCGGCAAGGATGTGTCACAGTCCAAATTAGAGCTGGGCGCGGACATGCCCCTACCCAACTTA